CTACTACTACTACTACTACGACGATACTATTATGTCAATCACAGTATGCTCGCTGAGGAGTGTACCATGTTCAACCAACCTATGCTGCACGCACTTCCGGCACATTCTTTTCCCTCTCGCATGGCTGAGGTGCAATGCCCACTAGCGAGGTTGGAAAGACTACTTGAAGACTGCAAGACTCGTTTAATTTGTGGTTTCTAGATGAGGTTGATCAGTTCCACGATTGCCCTAGCCCTAGCTCAGAGAACCTGGTAGCATCGGGAACACAGATCAGCCTACATCACGAAGGTCTTCCGGCACATTCGAAGTTTGGGGTCCAACCAGCAAAAGCGTCCGACCAGCTGCATCTCCATCATGAGACTCATGTTCACCCGCTTTAGGCACGACTGATCCATCTTGATCTTGCACTATATTGAAGTATTCTTCACTAGCATCTCCGTCTGTGCTATGTAGTCGCAATACGACAGTACGACGAAACGGGTGCTAGATCAATCAAGCCAACCTGCAGGAATATGCCCTAACGGCACAGATGACCACTGCAAGCGAGACAGCCCTTGAATTCGCATGTGAGATGACATGACCCTTGGATGCCCGGAACCACTTCAGCCACGCTTTGCACACCAGAATCCCTGCATTTTCAATCAAAGATGCCGGCAGAATGGTGCTCATGGCTCCGGAAGGTCCATTCAGCGTGAACCTAGGGGCACAAAACAAAGACGGTGGACCATTGCAGCGCAGAAATTCTGTACCCGGGGTTCAGGGTCGCGTGCACAGGGCACAAGGCATGCTGAACGAGGTGTGCAAGTGCGGTGGAACGCCATCGGCAAGCAAAGAACGCTTCCTTGCCATCATCAACGTCCATCGTGACATCGATCGACTTGATATACCTGCAAAAAACTTGACGGGAGGCACTATTGTGTCGTGTACGCGTTTCAGCTCGCACGTTTTTGCTCGTGAGTTCGGCTCGGGAAGTATGTCAAGACGTAACCCCAAGCGTCTTTGTGGCAGGGCACGGTCGTAAGCGAAAGAAGAACAGGAACGGCTCACACATCAAGGAGTGGTCCGAGGGTGAGCGCGTGAACCTTGGACGGTCGTCTCACAAGGAAGGGCGTGAGCAACAGCATCGAATCAGAAGCCATTTGGGAGGGAAGCCGCGGCCAACCTTTGAAGCAACGAACTACCCTGAAACATGTGCGAGGCAAATGGAGAACCGAGTCATGATTTCCCCCCCCCCAAATCCCAAAGCTTGCTGCGACTCCAGCAGTGACGATCCCATTCCCTCCGCAGCAGCAGTTCATGCCGAGCTGCATGATAGGCAAGCACACAGAGGCGAGCCTCCACAAGGCCTCCTCCAGGGTGTGCAGCTCTTGCAACCTGAGGAGCATCGCAGTCGAAAACACGCCATCCCAAGAAGATGCTGCTCGACCCCTGCTTGTGGTGGGAAATCGCTGACTTGGGATCCTTCATTGCGGCTCCGGTGCAGGTTATGGATATTCTCGTCCTTCATCGCACAGGAGATGGCCTTTCTGCTACACTTGTCAGGAAAAGGTCGGCACTTGCTTGGCACTTGCAAGAGGGCAGACCTTGAGGTTTCCAGGTTCAGAAAACTGTAACAGGCACACTTCATCCGTAGACAAGCTTGAAGTGCCAGAAACGCCGCCTCCAAGCTGCTGATGACGTGGCCGCCCTCGGACTCAATAATGATGTGAGTCTTGAAGAACCACTCCTCATCGACCAACCTGAGTGACAAGCATTCGAGTAGGCCCAAAACTTGCCTCCCTTCGCCCAGGAGCCCCGTGAAGCGACGGAGCAGCCGCAAGTTGGAGGGCTTGATGGGACCTGGACAAGGGGAACTCGAGACCGAGCAAACCTTTCAACTCGAGGCCTGGACTCCCTACAGGTCACTAGCGTCACTAGCGGCTCACTAGTGAAGAGTCGAAGGTGCCTGCAGGGTCCAGACGCTCCCAGTTGTTCAGCACACAGCCGGCATAGTCAAGCATAGGGCGTCTCTCGAGTCTCTCCTCAGCTCCGTGACAGTGAAAAATGCAATGGCAGGGTGGCCACTCCGGCCGAATCCGGCTGAGGGAAGTCAAGAAGGCCACGGCGGCCAGGGTGCACTGACGCAGATCCATGGCATCGACAACCATGCGGGCAAGTGGTCCAAGTCTGGCCGGCGACCTCGCAAGCACTCTCACTCTGCGAAGTTCCTTATCGTTCCAGTAGATGCCAGACCGCCAGAACCCCAGCCGCCCTTGATCAATGCTCAACACGCCGGCGGGCCCAGAATATCCAGCTTCACGGTCTGGCCCTTCTCGTACACGTCCGGTGGGCCATGGAGGTAAGCGAGGCAGATGTATCCTCCCAGAGAGCTAGCTACACACGACAGAGTTCAAGCACGAAGTGATTCGCAGACCCCTGGCCCTGGTCACAAGCCTGACAAGCTGTACCTTCACCTCTGCTTGAAACAGCTGCAAACCATCACTATTACTGTCAAGTGCTGGTCTCGTCTCACATCCGTCTGTTGTCGGCTCGACTCCCGACTTCCTACGTAACCTCCCGACGGCAGGCCTAGCAGCGAGTGGAGGCTCTCTGCCTCACCTTCAGAGAGGACGTCTAAGGCCTCCTTCCATCGGGTTCTCAGAGAGATTTTTGCACGTGACATCCAAAGAGGTATCAACTCAAAACTATCTTGTGCAGCACTGAAGATGTTGCAAGCGTGTGGTTAACGCCAGATTCGCAGAGCCCGGACTTCTCTCCAGTATCTCCAGGCGGTGGGCCCGGTTTGCCTGATCCCGGATGTTCCGTGAGACGACAGTAGGTTTGGACACACCAGACGAAAACGACGACCACCAAAGGTCACTGGCCGCAGTCCTTGATCTCTGCACGATTCTGGGGGAGCGCGTGGCTGAGCCTACAACACGTTTTGTTGGAGAGGACCTTCCCATGTGAGTTTAACCCCAATGTCTACCACAGACAAACGCAGACTGTCGAAAGATGGGTCGGGTCAAAAGCTCTGACAGCAATACATTCAAGCTCCCGTCAAAGGGACAAAGGAACCTGTACAAGATGTCGCCCTGTCAAAGGCCAAGAAGCTCTCTTTCCGCAGCTGTGCGGAACTTGCCATGAACTGTCAGCGAAGGCAGTACTTCCTCAGAATGCACCACAGCCAAAGCCGGCGAAGTCTTCTTTTGTCAAGCCAGCCAGCCAGAAGACCCCACTCGGTGCGGGCATGCAGGATTGATTCTCAGTGCGGGTTACACATGTTTTCTCTTCCCAGAATAATTGAATCGAGGCCAGGCACCGAGAGCTTCACCAGTCGGTCCCATGGAGCTGGAAGCTCCTTGACCTAGCACATGCGCCCGAACATGTCTACAACTAAACGAGACCTATTCACATGCATGATTGCACATACATGCACTGTATGTATACATATATGTATGCATGAATGCATGCATGCATGCATGCATGCATGCATGCATGCATGTATGTATCATGTACACATCTTTACGCACATACAGAATGCGTCTTGTTGTTTATTTTGCTTGTATCACTTGTCTGCATGTCTTATCTGCATGGCTGACATCCTCATCACACATACCGCTAGCTGACCAGTCTGACTATCAATCTGTCTGTCTAACTCCTCTTCCCTCTGGGAATAAGGCAAGCCAATTTTCTACACATACATACATACATACATACATACATCCATCCATGCATGCATACGTACACACACATACATGCATACATGCATGCATGCATAGGTACATAAGTACATACGTACGTACATACATACATACATACACACACGCATACACGCGTACATTCTTACGTAATTACATACATATACATGAGTACAGACAGACAGACAGACAGACAGACAGACAGAAAGACAGACAAACAGCCAGCCAGCCAACCAGGCAGGCAGACAAACAAACAGACTTGCATGCATACATACCATGCGCAAGTAATCACTTCCCCCTTTTGTTCAAGCACTCCCCGAACGACAACAACACTTTCCGGGAAATCCCCGTGAAGTCATTCCCGCCTTTTGAATTATGTACGGGGGTGTCAGAACACGAGCGGGAGCAACAGCAAGAGCCACGGCAGTTGCGAGAGCAAGAGCCCCGGCAGGAGCAGGAGCCGCAGTGGGAGCTGGAGAAGGGATTATGCATCAAATATATTTGTCGTCGGGCAACCAAGGACCAGTGCAAGAGAGACGCTGGATCAGCACATGGAAGGAAGCCACACTCTTCGACATTCCACCAAGAGTCAACCTGCATTCGGCTGCTTATGCTTTGTGCTTGGGTCCTCGAAGCAAGGGACAGGCCAAGCCGCAGGCATAGTCTCCAGAGATTTTCCAGGAATAGCAAACGATGCCAAATAAACTTCGGTTCACTGACTGCTGGAGCTTCGCCCCTCCCCTGAACTAACACATACGTGGAGTGAGTCACAACGTGGCCTGGCCCCTCACACGTGCAACAGCCGAGGCACTTGGTTGATCTTTAGTCGGCTGCTCTGGCGTCCCCCAGTGAGCTGCAGCGGCTTTGCAGGCTCGCTGGACTCACTGGTTTTTGCAGAATCGCAGATTCCAACCTGGAAGGGGATGCCAAGACAGAAAGGGATTCGTGTTGCATCTGCTACGGGGAGGAGACGCGAACTTGAGCTTGCAACTTCCGTGTTCTGCAAGCACCCTCCCAAGGCCGGACTGAGGTGCTGCCAGGAAGCGAAAAGCTTTTCCATCTGCACGAGGGCTGCACTTGAATGGCGCATGGTCTCAAACTCCACAGTCGCATCCCGGCCAGCCACACCTAGCCTGAGTGTCAGCATGACGATGCGCACAGCCCGGGTACATCTCTTCACACTGAGGTGGCAGCAACTAGGGAAAACTCTAGCATCAGCAGCTTTCGTTCCAGTTTGCCGCGAAACAGGAGGTCTGCTCCTCCGGGATGCCTCTCAACATACTCGCTCCTTGGCGCCAGGGCAGAAGGTGCGGGCTTGAAGCCCCTAGGCCCGGCCTCCTGGCATGTAAGATGCTTTATGCTAATAGTACCAGTGCAGAGCTACCTGTTTTCAGCTGCGACAGTCGCCTGCTTAGCTGCATGCGTCTCTCGGAGCCTAAGAGCCCAATAGCTCAGCCTTCTTGGCTCATCCATTACAATCCCACTGACTTGCAGTCCTAACACCGGCAACCAAACCGCTTGTCTGTGCCTCACACCAGCAACTTTTTTGCCACGAGCGTCAAGTTGTAGACCTTGCCAAAGATGATCACCCAGCCACGAGAGCGAACCTCTTGCAGGGAGATCCTTCGGATGTCCTCCACGTCTCGCCGCCTGCATGCTTGTCATGACAGCACGTGGCTACAAATCTCACCCTTTAGCATTTCCCAATCCCTCTTGCTGACCGCGGCATTGCTGAGCTAAACTCACATCCGCCAGCGAGATGGGACGGCCGCGGCCTTTGTGGGCAAGCATTTCCCATGGCGCGCGCAAAGCATCAATGGGAAAACATGGCTTCGGAAGGACTCGAGCCTTTCACGACGGCAAATCTGCAGAGTCAAACAGTTGCCAAGCCCAGCGTAATGACACTTCAAACGCACCTGTCCGCTTGGCTTTTCGGAGGTTCAACTTGCTTGTGACGCAGTGCACTTTGAATTCCCCCCCTTTCCATCACTTCCATGCCGCATCTCATAAACCACTGGTAACCCTGAAAGGCCCGAGCTGGCAGGGCGGTGCATCGACCTGGCGTCTGTCAATTGCCAGCTCCTCTCCAGCCCTTAAGGCCAAAAGCGAAAATCCGGAGCAAACTGGGGCCACAGGCCCAACAACCTTAGCCCTCAGTTTTGGACCGGAAGTAAAAGTCCTGAAACTACAGAGGCAAGAAAAACAATCTCCGGAAATAGGTCGAGGCATTTTCATGCTCCACACTTCTCCGCCTTTGCTTTGATCGTCAAGAGGACCTTCTTTGGGACCTATAGATGCTTTTGAATGCGCCGGAACAACTGAGCCAAATCATGCCAGGCTGGGATGTCTCTAGGAATAGCCTGGATCGGAAACATAGCACCGACGTTGTAGCCAGCGCGGGGAGGTTCGCCGCGGCATGTATCTTAAATGCAATCGCGTGTGAGACTTCGGCGCTTGCCGCATACACCCGGTGTGTGCGCTGTAAATTTGGCTTAGCCTTGATGTTCGCATCATCGGAGAGTGTGATGGCCAGCGGCTAGCAGGACTCTATTCCTCAGGGATAATACAATCGCTATTCGACTGTGTCCAACTGGATGTCACATGCTGGACAAAATGTGGGAGAACCCCAGAGCCTTCCAAAACGTCACGCAGCACAGAACCTAGCAGTCATATCAAGAGGTGGAGTAGCACTGGCCCCACATTTGGAAGGAGGCTCTACTACAGTATAGGCCCTATAGGCCCTCTGCTAACGCAGGGCATCAGCAATTGCTGCGTCACATTTGGGACTCTTCGAGGCTGTCTGCATCTTGTTCGAAGGACGAAAGGTATCTTTGGGAGTGGATCACGCACTTCCACCCGACCCGATGTGAGTACGGCTGGCGAAACTTCAACTCTGCTCCTGTTCTACTGGTGGCCGAGATTGAACGGCTCTGGGAACGATGCCGTGCTGTGGAAAGGATCGGATAGCTGGAAGCATGTCATGCCGCAAGATTCCGAAATTTTTCGCTTGCGGATGAAAAATTCGCTTGCGGATGGACATTCAAAATTTCGGCATAGGGCTTGCAAGAGTTTCTGTACAGAATTTAAATTTATTGATGGCTGGGGCCAGCCTGCTTCTCAAAGTGAATTAGTTCTCCAAGCGACTGGGCTTCCATCAGCCCACGAGCGTGATTGGTCCTCAGCATCGAGCAAAGGCCCTCGGGCCCTCTGTAGAGAGCTCTTCTCAACTTCGCGCTTCATCCTAAATTCCTACATGCTTGTAAGTCTTGCCCCAGCGTAGAACAAGCGCGTAGCATGGTGGTAAGAGCACACAGATGTGAAGCTACTCGTTTCTACACCTGTCCAATACGGCCATGGTTCTCACCGCAATTCGCTGCCTCCTGGGCTTGCAGGTTGAGGGCGGCACCGGGCAGCGTTTGATGCGACCTGCACAAGCCAGTTCAGTTTGGAAGAACTTGAAAAGAGGCAGAAAAGACTGCCCGAATTTCTGCTGACTAGGGGAGTGGGACAGCAGCCGTGAACTTCCCGGACGGCTGTCGCTGCTGCCTTCGCGATCGTAGTAAGGATTGGCCCCTCCGAAGGAGAAGACACGCTGCTTGAGAGCCCCCTGATTACCTGACGAGATATGTCGACAAGTCCGCATAACTATGGCTTTCGAAGATCTGTCTCAGTGAGACTCAAGTGCGCACATGTACATTGCACGATGCAGATCCCAGACCAAGTTCAGCCTCTTTGCTTCTTATAAACCAGCCATGCAGGGATGATTCAAACGAAGATGGCAGACGCTTTCCATTTCCCGACTCATATTAAGCTTCCTTCCCGATAGCACCCGCTCTCAAACTAGCTTCGACAAGGCTTTTGTTGCTGAGAGCATGCCGGACCCAAGCCATGATAGGATGATCCAGTTGCGCATCTGGGCGTTGACCGGCGCACGTGAGTACGTAGGGTCGACCACGGCACAGAATGCAAGGTAGTTGAACCTCGCCGGCTGGAGCATGGCAGTTGCATGAAAACCAAGGCACAATGCAATCAAAAAGCATGGACGTGTGACCCTGAGAACTATCACAACCGTGTAGGACAGCTGGTCACCGAGCCCCAAATCACGACGGAGATGCCAGTTTCATCGTTTTCACCGGCTTCAATTCTGAAACTCCTTTCATTAGAGATCGAATCCTCAAGCAGCTCGGCTTTCAAGGCTTTGCTGCCAAGGGGCTCTTTTCCGTTCTCCTGGGCTGCGGCGTAACTCTCACACGTCGAGTTTTTCCCGCATCTCTAAGGCAAACTGCGCGCAGAGACCACCAAACTAGACACCTTCGTTAGGGTCGTTAGAGAAATTGGATGTGAACAAGCTCCCAGGCCGAGCAGCAGTGTCGCAATATGCTTTGCAAACCACCTGGCTGGCTCCAGTGTCAAACTGCCACGTGGGCATTTTCATTGGAAAGTCCGGTGTTCGCATAGCGGCACACGCGGATGCTGACGAAGCCTAGAGCAGAGAAACATACACGAATCACGCGAACCTCCAGATCTTCTCGCGTGATGGATTTGACGCTCAAATCATCCATGACCTCAAACAAGGGCTTTCTGTGCATCAGCCAGGTAATGGGTGTAAGAAGAACATCAAGCGGGACCCAGCCGAGGTGCCCTCCAAAAGTGCAGTGACAGTATGTGGCCATAGCATGCCTGCCCAGGCTTCCTTGGCGCTTACCAAATCTCCAAAGATCCATTTAGCTGGCTAATGCTCTTCCTATACATCTCGTGCCAAGCTTCGCGTAGTTCTCGAAGAGTGCTGCTGCATCCAGTCCTCTTGCACGAACATGCCTGGCCACTGCACTGTGTACCTGCAGGAATCACGTCTGCAGCACAGGAATGCTGTCCGGAGAAGCTGTCACGCCTCTGATGCCCGGCTGTGAATTGCTGGAAAGGCGTGCTGTGCTGAACGCCACATTGCTATTATTCTTTCAGGCTGCAAGCAGCGACAGATCCAAGCTCTAATTATCCCTCTTCCGGTGGCCTTGTCCAAGATAGCCTTCACGACAGGGCTCGTGACTTGCGGCGGTTCATTGGAAACATATCCCGTTCTTGCTTTGGCCTGAGGATTCAGCGTGGCGTGCTTGGAACGAACACTCTGTAATCAACAGCAAACACCACGAGCCCGACCCTTGTATTTGGGCTGACAGCCGGTGTCTCTGGCAAGGCTGGTAAGTTGAGTCCAGCAGCTGTCTTTGTGTCAGTCTTCTCGATGCGCTGTCGATTGGCGGCGTCCAGCTCCGAGCAGAAGTCGTGGTAGCGGAACCGGCCATCCGAACTTTTATACCTCAGAAGTCGCGCCCTTTGAATCGTTGCGCCCAGACAGAATAAAGGTCTTGCCTGCATGTCACCTTCCCTATCGTTGCTCAAATCGAATCGGCACATGACAGAAGAACAACATGCCAGTGATGCTCAATCGATGACTCCATCTTGCAAACACACTCCCGACAGGCCTGTCGAAGAGTTGCTGCATCTCCTCAGCACGTAGTCTGAGACCCATGGTGGTTAGGCCATTCTTGAAGCCGCCTTGCGAGACCACACCTGAGTGCCGTCATCGGGGCTCCAGCTCTGAGGGACTCAAGCTATTGGGTCCCAGCCTTTCTTGAGCGGGTCGAAGTCGGCGAAAGAATCCCAGAGTCGAACGCGGTGAGTCATCAAATGTGATAGGAGGGTTTGCCTCGGTGCTCAGACATCTAAACCACGAGGTTTTTGCCCAAAAGAGATGGTCCTTACTCGATACGAGCTTTGATTTCCACGCGGCACGCGAGCTGTCAAGCCAGGTCGCATCACGTCGATCTTCTTGGAGTAGCGTGCGCCGGCTGTTTGAGGCCGTGGGGGGAGCTCTGCGGAGGCACGACGGTTCCTGCGAGGCGTGGCGTAAGGGCCGTCAGGTGCAGGCCTTTAGCCGGCTTGGCTTGTTGAGCGACTGGCCTCGACTCCCGTGCTGTCTGGGGCCGCTTTGGCACGTGCGTCTTCTCAATTTGATCTCCGTCCTTCAGGAAGCTCACTACAGGATGCTGACTGGCTTGCTCAACCCTGGAGAAGATCTGCTCCAGCGACCAGCACAAGAAACAAGCACACACACACACACACTGACTGTGCTGCGCATGACATGCACCCCTAGACCCCGACTGCCTGCGACCTGGACTCGCGGGCACTTTGCGGCCGTGGAGGACCTTGCATGGGCTGGCGGGACGAAGAAGATCCTTTGGAATCTATCTGCGCTGTTGCAGCCATGCCGTGATCGACAGAAGTGCATACGACCTCTGCAGACTTCCTGTCTTCTCGGGCCTGTGAGATGGAAACCCGATGTACATTGCTAACAAGCCAGCAGCTAGCGAACACAGAGTGATCAATCCTCACATGGCACTCACAAACATGCACTACGCAACATACGCCAACTGGGTGTGGCTGAACTACTGCAGATCCATTGCACGCATCCCTCTTCGCTCATTTGCCAGAGGAGCGTTGCAACGGAAAGCCGGCAGAGGTAGCTTGGAGAGGGTAGCCTGGGTGTGGGTACCGTCAATCGCGGCTATCGGGAGACAGCAAACAACAACAACACCAACACAACACCACCACCACCACCATCACCACCACCACCACCACCGCCACCGCCGCCACCGCCAGCACCAGCACCAGCAGCACCAGCACCAGCACCAGCACCAGCGCCAGCGCCAGCGCCAGCGCCAGAACCAGCACCAGCACCAGCACCAGCACCAGCAGCAGCAGCAGCAGCAGCAGCAGCAGCAGCAGCAGCACCAGCGGCAGCGGCACCAGCACCAGCAGCAGCAGCAGCAGCAGCAGCAGCAGCAGCAGCGGCAGCGGCAGCGGCAGCGGCAGCAGCAGCAACAGCAGCAGCAGCAGCAGTAGCAGCCGCAGCAGCCGCAGCCGCAGCAGCCGCAGCAGCCGCAGCCGCAGCCGCAGCCGCAGCCGCAGCCGCAACAGCAAGAGCAAGAGCAACAGCAAATCACAAAAAGGGCAGGAAAGCAGTGTCTCAAGATCTCTGCCGCGCCGTAAGAATCCCGACTGGTCTTCTAACGCCAAGACGCTGTGAGTTGCCGTCGTGGGCTGCCGTCCCAACACAGTCTCCTCCGACTGAGAATGTCGATGTAGCTTACAGGCCCTCGATGTAAAATGGGGGCTGCTACCGCTTACACACTCCATTTCTTGCAATCTTACAGCGTTTGGTACACAAACTTTCACCAGTCGGGATGTCACAGCAAGAACGGAAAGGATTGGGCGCAGAGATCTCATGACAGGCATGCCATGTATATGTATCACAGCAAAAGTGTTTCTCGTGTTTGTGCTGCGTCCTGGAGCCGGCAACGGGGCTTTTTCGAAGGGCGTCTTCGAAGAGGCAAAGTTACACATCAAACCGTCTATGCCAGGGCTCACTGAACGACCGGCCAACAGGGATGTTACGACGTTCAAGTCGGTGTCCGACGGCTCCGCAGAAACCATCAGGCTACACATGGTGATGTAAGCCCCTAGTCACTACTCACTAATCCAGCACGACTCCTCCATTTCCTGCTGGAAGGCAAAGATGCGAAAGTAGCCATCATGGTCAGTGAATCGATCGAGTAAAGGCCGCACCTGGACAAGGCAAACGCAAAATCAACTCCTATTCAAGAGCTTTCTTGGGACACCAACTCGCTTCAATAAGTCAAGCCACGGACGATGGACTCGACACTAATTAGACAACAAGCCAATCCGGTTTCAATTCCGATGACCCGGGTCTGTGTACCGTCTGGGAGCAATCCGAAAACGGTTTCGAGTCTGGGAGCGGCTTCCGCACATCGTACTCCACAACTCTTGACTCATTGAACTGCCGTCATGAATGTGTCCCTGCCATCTTTGGGAGGGATACTGAGAAATTCTGACCACGCGCCAGCTCCAATGAAAGTGCCTCTCATAGGGTCGTTTTCTCAGATCTCACTCAGTCTTACCCCACGTGTTTGTTTGTGAACTGTTCCGAAACTGAACCGCTCATAAACCAAACATCGGGCTCTCAAACCGTGCCCTCGTTCGTTCTCTTGCATTCGAACCAGTTTTTTGGTCGAAACGCTGCAACGAACGGGGTTCAAAACGTAAGCTTGTCGCTCTGGGACTGCCCGGTCATTACTAGTAGCCCCTGTCGTTGGCGTCGAGGCTTGAATGGCACATATCTGATGAAGTCCAGGCTGCAAACAGAGACATCACAACAACGCAGCCGGCATGTGGGGCCGTCGGGCTGCGATACTTCTCCCATGCCCTCAGTATGCCTCACTTTCACGTATCTTGCAAACTACAGGAAGACACAGATTTTGCAAAGCATCCGCGACCTCGCTGGCAGAGAGTGCGCTAGGAATGGTGGGAGTCGTCCGCGTCAGGGGAAAGATCCTCCATTGTCATGCAATTCACGTATGGCTGTATCGCAGCTTAGGCATCCGGCAAAGTTGCTCATCGGCCTTGCCGCTACCAGATGGGGTATGTAACGCTGTGTATCAACAGACTCGGCCGAATATGGAGAAAGTCCTGAGGAAGTGGTCAGGATGGATGCGCCCGGCGTGGGCTTCCAGGCTGGACCAATAGCTGTCGTCAAGCGCGGTGCCGAGATTGATGCCTGCTGCAGGGACCGGTGCCAATGAAGACAGGTCAAGGCTTCGCGGCATCCAAGTCTAGAATATTATGGCAGATGCTGCAGAAAGCTGGCAACGCCACACCTCGGGCTTCGCACAGGGCGCCGATCCGATGCAACAGTTGACGATACTTCTCCTTGAACGGCAGTTGTGTCAAAGCGAGAAGCATCCGAGAAACAAACTTAAGCCGCCAACCGCACAAAATGGATGATCGCGCTCGAACCGAACCCTCCAGAAAGAGCAGCTCAGTTGCAAGATCTGCCGGCGGCTTAGGCTCGAAGACCGACATCACATCTTGGATTCTCACGTGCTCAGGGCGAAGGTCGTTGCAGGGCAGCTGACAAAAGAACCCTCCAGGCTTTCCGATTTGTACTACACAAGCTGACTCAACGTAACTTGGAGGAAATTTCGAACCCAGAGCAGGGGCTATAATACACTTGCCCGGCCACGAGATGCGGTTGCAAAGCCCAACGCCCGAATGCCGAGACCAGATGACTTGACATTGGGATGATGTTCTGCTCAAGTAAGGCGTCATCGCCATCTTCATCACCATCACCACAGCTAGTAGTATTAGTAAGCAAATGCAGTCATTGACAGCAGCACTCACTGCGGCTGATGCCACGCTGCTTTCGTCGTTAGTGTACGACAGTAGTGGCGTTGGTGTGTTGAGCATCGCCACTGGGCACTGAAAGGAGGGTTCTGGCAACCTCATTCGGCCGAGCTGCCGTGGCCTGGGGGCCCAACTTCGGCCTGGGGTGTCTTCTCCAAGAAATGGGTTGTGAAGGTCGTCTCCACCTGCACCGGATGCAGTCTGAACGAGTATGATACGGGCAAGACGGATGCAGATGTCCGGATCCGCAGAAGGCGCCTCCAGGCAGAAGCGTGCGAAGTCCACCAGGAAGGGTTGCCCAGCCAGGCGGGGGAAAAACTCGAAATGCTCGGCCAAGGCCTTCGAGGCTTTGCATACCCAAGGGCGCGAAGGTTAAAGGCCAAGCAGCTTTTCAAAAGACCTGCAGCTTGAGTGTTGATGAATGCTCTGGAAGCCATTCTTTTGATTACAGTATCAGGTTTGCAGCACCCGAATCGCATCTCGGGAAGCGCTGAGATGTTGAGAGCTTGGGAAGCAGTCTGGATCGTGCCTCTGCATCAATCGGCATCTGAGCATCGCTCAGTTGCCGTGGAGCCATGAGCCCTGTCAGCCCTCGCAGAAATTGATCTCCTGGGGCAGGCTCCAAAGTCTGGTGCAACGCTTATCTGCCTCCTTTAGAATGCCGGGTTACGTGCAGTTTTTGGTGCGCTGCTGTGAGCTGCACTACTAAAAAAACTCTCAAGTCAGCATGTACAGCCCGAGTGACTTGGAACTACCCTCGGCCGAGAGTCGTGTACATCTTCCGTAGTTGAGTCTGTCAAAATCCTTGAAAAACCTGATGCACGTTTCCGGAGTGTCCCCCACAAGTAATGGAAAATTCACGGCATCTGGGAATGCAGGCATGGAGACTCTTTGGGTCGGAGCTTTCGCTGGAAGACATGGAGCTTGATGCGACGCATGAACTCTGTAACCTCAATCTTGCCAAGACTGCCAGGGCCAAAAGCACTACGATAATGAAGGAAGCATGGCATAGCTGCCTCTCCTGAAACCTGCACTGCAGCCACATTGCCACAAAGCTGCGAATGGGTAACCGGGTAGCTACTGTGCCCATGCCGGTGCATGCCCCAGCATCTCCAGACTAAAGGCAATACCAAGACGCATCGCATGCAGCATGCCGAAGCCGACCAGGTGCGGAGCCCGGACGGGGCCGGAAGCGGCGACCTTTCGCAAACTTTTCTTACGCAGCGATTGAACACTTCTCCGGCACGACATGCTTAGAGTCGGAGACAGACCTACGCCTAAGCACTCACTCGTATAGTCCGTATATATAACTATCGGGCAAACAAGATTCGGAGCACCCGGCGTCTTCCGTATGTGGACATAGACACGGTATCTAGTCAACGGCTTTGCAGCACTGCATGCTCGCAATGTTGGAGATACTGACGGCAGCGAAGCCACACTCAAACGCAGCTGCCGCTCGCAAGTGCGGCGGCGCTTTGGGGGTCGGCGGCTTGTCAAGTATTGGCACTGGCTGAACCTGTTCAGAACTTCGCAGGATCAGACAGTGCACAGGGCTTATCACCAGCCTTTCCTGCTACAGTACGTAGTTCTGATATCTACTTAAAGTTTGGGGGGGGGGGTCAACTCGTCATCTATGTTGCGACCTCGAAAAACCTAGTCACTGCCGTTTCTGTTGGCACGGACCGCTTTGAACTGTCCAGTCTAGAGACGACTGTTCGTTGAGCCGTCACAGTCCCAGCCGAGATCCAAGTATCGAATCAACCACGGAGAGCCACAGACCGAGCCTTCGTCTGAGCAACGCCCCAGCCCAAGCCACCCGAAATCGTACCACATCGCGAACCAAGAGCAGTCCCATGAAAGCGGAACTGACAGTACACTTCGAAACGAACCCTTGAAACGCAACTTAAGACAACTCCTGCTTGTCTGCCGTGCCACGTCCTGTCGTGTTTGTGTGTGAGGTGTATGTAAATAAACACATACAAACATAATAATACATGCATTGTAGTGTACGTGTGCACATATGCCTCTACATTTACATACATACATACATACATACATACATATAAAATATACATATGTACGTATGTATGTATGTACGTATTTATGTATGTATGTACGTAAGTAAGCATGCATGCATGGCATGCATGTGTATGTGTGTATATGTATATGCACACACACATGTGTGTATATATATATATTTATATGTGTGTGTGTGCATGTGTATGTATGTATATATATATATGTATATGTATATGCACACGCACACACACATATACATATACATACATATATATATATATGTGTGCTACCCCCCCTTAAAGCCCACAGGTTTCATGATTTTATGCATAATCTAGCAAGGCACTGCTCTGCTTCTACTCTACGCCGACACCAGGCCGCAAGAACACAGGAAGCTGGCACTCTTGGTCGTACGCCGACACTAGGCAGCAGGACCACAGGAATGTCAGGCTCTTGCCATGGTACTGGCATTTCCCTGTCACTGCTACTTGTGAAGATGTGTAATATACCATGGTTCATAGTGAGTATATTCGTGCAGATACACG